AAATACAGAGCACACAAATGTTAATATTTTAATATAAAGTACTCTTAGGTGGTGGATAAAATATCCAGTAGGCATCACACACTTCAATTTTATGTACAAACAAATGTAACATCTGCTGCCTAGATTCTGTGACAAGTAAGGGGCTCCAATACTATATTTCAGCAGTTAATGGCAGTGTCATCTACAGTATGTAGTACATTTCTAAACAACAGGTGGGCACTGTCACTGTTAAGTTACCACAGTCATCTGCAAATGATTGATAGCAAGTCAAGCCAGCTGCCTGTGTGTGTTTTGTGGGGCGAATGCTTGCTGTTAATGTTAGTGCTGCTGGCTATATAACTATTTAAACTTTTTAGAGTCCAGACCTCCCAGTCTGCTCGTTCCAAAACCCTCAAAGCAGCAGTCAGTCCAAATGTGTAAGCAAGTCACCCACAGATTGTCTGAGCCTATAAGGTATTGATTGCCAGCAACTGCAAAGAATGATGGGGTCTTGAGTATTCAGTTTAATCTTGTTCTGAAAATTTAGCTTCATGCTCAACATTCTGCTTTATACTACCAAGTGTTTATAAAAACGAACCATTAATGGAGGTATCACAATATTTCAACATAAAATATTTATTTTCAGCCATATCTTTATTACATCATGTCAAGATAAAATTTAATCAGAGTTCATCTGGTACTGTATGTAAATGTCTTTCATACAATAGCATATACAGCACAGTCACTGGTGAACACCACACATTGCATAACCGTATAAGAAATAACGTAACTAAAATAGGGATATTTTACCTAATACATACACAATCCTAAAACCATAATAAAAAAAAACACCACTGTCAATTACTTGATTGATTTTAAACAATTCAATTAATGGATTTCCCTTCCAGCATTAAATACTGAACTCCACGAGAAATAACAAAAATGACAATGTACGATTTGTACTTTAAGTGAACAGAAAGTGCTTTGAAACAGGAACTATTCATCACCTAAGGCAAAGGGCCATGTGGAGGGGTTTGTGCTAAAAAAAATACATATCATGTAATGTTGAATCATCAAGATTTGTACAAGATGGATTGTCCATAGTTTAAGCTCCTGTGCCAGAAAGGATAGAAACAAGTTCTGCGCTGATTGATGTTAATTGAGGTCAATGTCATTCCGTGCTGCACTGACAGATTTTACCAGATGTTGCCGTGCTTCACACACCTCATTATTAAGTTGAGGGTGTGTGTGTTTGTTCTCCAGGTCCACTCCATGAGCTCTGCCCTATTTCCAGGGAAATTAAGCACTCAAACTGCGGGACCTGGGAGCCTCTCTCTCTCTCTGCTCTGCAAGAGACGACCCCCACTGTAACGGCACCAGGAGCTGGACACTTCAGATATGGACAGAAGTCCCTCTGGACAGTCAACAGCAGTATTTCGGAACCCACCCAGTACCTCTGGTCTAACCTGAGGCACGGACACAGGGGTACAAAAAAACTGCAATAAATAAAAAGCTAGCAATCCTTATGGCTTACACTGTATGTTTCTAACCAGTATGTATGTAGGCATACAGGTGTCACCACCTGTGCAATGGGTTTCCATTCGCATTTGACTCCCCAGTTCGTGAATTTATGCTTATGAGAATGAATGAGAGATTGAGTTATTTGAAGACGTTTTTATGTGCTTAAGCAATGACATGTTGAACACTAAATAAATATTATTTGATTTTAAGAGCCCATGTGAGCCAGAGAAACACTTAGATTGGAATGCTAAGCAATGGAGCTTTTTGCAAGGAGGTCTGGACAGAACAGAGGCATTTCTAAATAAGTTCACTATAAATCAATTCAATTGAAAATATTTTATTCATCCCATTTAAGCAGCAAGCAGTGCAACATGCAATACATGACAAAAAAACATTTCTGACAAAAAAAAAGTATAAACAGTACATAGATAAAAACAGCCAATGGGCCATAGAAGTGATTGAAAGGAACAGTGTGCAATATATAAGAAGATATTAAAGTACATGCACATTTAGATAGAGGGTCCCTATCCAATAGAGATCATAGTGATAAAACGTCTTTACATTCATTGTTTGCAAGCCTGATGGCCTCTGGAACAAAACTACATTTTCTTTTATTTGTCTTGCACTGTGGAGAGCGAACACATCTTCCTGAAGGCAACTTTCAAAAGACTGATGCAGGATATGGGATCGGTCTGCAATGATGGCTAGGCCTTCCTCAGGATCTGCCAGACATAAAACCGTGCCAGGAATCTCAAAAGCTCACCAATAATTCTAGAGCTAGAGATACAGTAAGTACCCTCAAAATCGTAACAGGAATAAAGAAATTAGATGACTGCAATTTTGTTGAAGGATTTGAATTCATTTGCAAATACCGTTAAAAACATTACATTTTTAGTATTCAGATTTTTTTTATATTTGTAAATATAAAAAATATTTAATTTCATTTCATAATGCATAAATTAAGGCACCACTGGAGGCTTTTACTAACAGTTTACATCGTATCAGATTTTTGTATACAATTGATTATGCAGAGTACAAACCATATTCTTCAACAGCTAAGATGTTCACATATAACAATAAATGTCAAATTAGTTTCCTCTTTATTGGTTATATATCTCAGTTAAGCAGCTAGGTGATTGTTATACTTAATACAAAACCCCTAATTTTCTGGCCAAAGAACAATATTGAATTTAATTATTCAAATTGTGTCCCAGGTTTTTAATAGGACAGTCAGATACAGCGGTCTCTATAAACTACTTGGAGCCAAAGATGAGATCGGCATAATCATGTTTTTGTTCATTATAAGAGCTTATTAGAAACTGTTAAAACCCCCTAACCTTATTTGATATCTTTCGGTATTTTAATGTAATCTGAAATCAGGTGTACGTAAGGATATTTCTCTCACAAAAAAAAAATACACCTATTGTAAACCCAGCAATTACAATTAGTGAAAAAGAAGATGGAGATATTTAAATTTGCCACAAGATGGCATTCACTTCCCAAAGAAGATTTTTAGTCAAAATGTTCGTCTAAAAGGAGCTAAATGACACAGGCTGCCTTTACACATGCTTTATCCGTAACTGTTAACTTAAACTTTAGGAGCCTTCACAAAAATCAATAGTGATGAGCTGCATACAAAGCTAAAAACCTCGCTGATACATGTCGCTGTAAAAACGTAAGGCCACGTTCGCCCGTATTGAAATATGAAACATCCCCTTTCTCTGTTGCTTTGTTACTAAACCACTCCCCTGCACGCTAAATCTTTGCGCTCTGTCTCCTAGCAACCAGCCTCTGAGCTCCATCCTTATTGGTGGATGTTCAAGTTTCCGCCATATTCAAAACCTCTCTTTTGCCATCGATTTGAATTTCCCTTCCCCGCTTCAGATAAAAAAAAAACAAACAAACACTTAGTTTTAGTATTCGCCATTATTTGCATCCCACCTTCTAGCTTTTAGGTTGCTTTTCTTTCTCATACCGCCGATCTTGTAAATGGAGGAAACCGAAGAACCTCAGATCCCGACTGGAGAGACGGAGAATGACAGGCCGAGAAGAAGGGCCGGCTGTAAGAAAGAGAAGTCGTCTGTCAACTCCGAATCAGCCTCCCCGGAAAACAGTAATTCTAAGCGGTAAAAAAATAACAATACTGTATTTCTGCTGCACAATGTAGTTTGAAGACAGCAAATCGGCAGACTTCCAGTAATTGGGATGGGCTGTGTATGTTAAGGGAGTCGTGCGTTTTGTTGTGATCTCTAATTTTACTCCCAAACCACAGCAGGCCTGTACCACTAGATTACAACAAATTTAAAACGATCAACAACGCACCCGTTTCCAGTCGATCGTCTTTGATTTAAGGGTCGATACGTCTTGCTAAGATACACTGCTTTTGTTTTGCAAATTTGCATTTAAAAAGCACATATGCATTGTACTTTCTGTTTATACAGAAATACCTGAAATTATTCTGAACTTGCTGTTGATTTGAAAAGGACAGAACTCATATCCACGATGACTTGGGAGAAAATACAAAATATTCTGACAGGTTAAATGGTATTTTGTTACTTTAGTATTTTTGTGATTCGCCAAATCACTTTATTCTTCTCTGCAACTTTGAAAATTTTAACAGCCGCTTACTAACTCGTAATTTCGTGAAAAGGTGATTATTCTTACATGGTTTAAATGTAAAAACGCGATTTATTCCTCTCCCTGTATGTACTTGAATTGTATCTGTAAACTTGTAGTTGTTAATAACAGCCAATCGCATAAATGTTTCACTTTGTAAAAAAATGATTTTTGCTGTGTTAAGTGAACATATGTATTTCCATCTACTGAAGTAACACACGACTCGCTACGACCGCCACTCCGATGCCCTCCATTTCAGGAAGTAAAATATTTTCCAAATCTTATTACGGATTCCCCACTTGGTGGCGCCAAGCCATAGGTAGTGCAATAAAACACGTCTGCGGCCCTCGTCATGTAATCAATTCCAACTCTTTAAAAACCAGTCGACAGTAGTTGTACTGCTTTGCTTGGTGGTTTGTGTGACGTTCTCAGATCGAAGGAACTGGTGTCTTAAGGTCTTGCGTGGTCACGGTGTATCCTGTAATTTGTTTCCAGCCCTCCTCGAGTCTGTTGGAAAACACTGAAGAATTGTAAAGAACAATCCAAATATAGCTTCAATATGTACAGTTAAAATAGGTTGTAATATCCAGTGCGAATAGAACAGCGTCTTATCTGTCCTATAGCGACAGCATTGATCATATTTCGTGAAAACGTGATGTAAACATCTTGGATTTGACCGCGCTGTATTTTTTTTTTATTTGACTTGCACATCATGGAGTGTTACTTATAATTACAAAATCATTTTTAGATTAATGAGCACATTACATTAGTCTGCAACTGTAGGAAAAGCGAATCCAGTCCCAGAGCCGCACCTCAAAAAAATGGGGCCTGTTTTCTTTCAACGTGGACATAAACGCTGCAGTGTATAACGCTGTTCCTCCCAACAGTTCTGCTGTGTTTTGAAGTTTAAAATAACTTCACCAAGCGATTTTTCCAGCAACACATATATATCGTCTCCAAACTTAAAAAAAACCCCAGATATTTCTAATAAGTCAGATTGCACATGACAACAGCCACCATGTTTTTAAAATGTTACTGAGAAAGTTTACTTTGGCATGTGTAGGAACTAATGCCAGTCTCTCCCAAATCATCCTCCCCCTGCTGAGCTTTCCATTGAATCTGCCAGGTCTTTGGTCCACAGCCCTTGAGAAAAATTAAGTTATATATAAAAGACAAAACAAAATCCATTTTACCATATTTGTACTGTTAAACAAAGTACGCTATACCGTGTAGCAAACAAAACTGCATATTTTGAATTTGTTCAATTTTTGTAGTTGAATAAAATTCTTTATAGTTTGCATTAATATAGTTTTGAGGAACTGAAATGAAGCATAAGACTTTTACCCTACTATATTTTTCATGAACAATTTCACGTAGTGCACTGTAATCTTGTGAATGATTAACCAGTGAACTCTTAAAAGTAGCACTCTGACATACAGTGTGACTATGATGATTGGAATCTGTGCCTTACCTTTGTTTACTCAGTCCTACGTTGACATTGGTCAAAGATTCCATTTATGAGAGTGTTTTCTATTATGCAGAGAGTTTTCATTGTGATTTCAACAAAGTAAGGAAGAATGTTGAGGAAAAAGCTCCCATGAAATTTCACACTATGGAGCAATCGTAGGGAATTTGTGGCCTCTACAAATCCACAGTCCCATCATGAGTGTTTATATTTTCTGTTATAGAATTGATGGACTGATGTAATCTTCCACAAAGAATCAGAATTGTGCTCTTTACTGATTTCAGTTAAAAGAAATACTGTGAGTAATTAGTTGTTGGTAACCTTGTAGTGAAGACAAAGTTAAGGAAGAGTTTTTACACTGCAAGAGCCTGATACATTTAAGGATAACAATTCAGAAAGCTGGGGTTCCTTTTAAATCTTCGTACCTCAAGTACTTTTGGTAGGCTCTGGTAATTTGTCCCTTTAAAGGGATAAATAGTGGTACTTTTCTGACCATACATATTCAAAACTGCTGTCTGAAAATAAGTCTGTCGTAAAGATAGCAAAAAATACATCATGTTAATGATGTAGAATTTTATTTAAATTTTAAAAGATATTGTATCTTTGATTTTCTCAACAAAGGGGTTTTATTCTAAAACAGATTGCAGCTTGTGATTTTGTGTTATCTTTGCAGTGTTCATTATTAAACAGATCGCAAATCTCATCTGCAACAGTGTAGATGATCAGGAGTTTTACATGCACCGACTTAATTCTGTCAGCACTGTGCAGCTGGTCCTGGTGTCAGAAGGTGTTAAATTAAAGATGCTGGTGGACTAAGAAAATGCAGTTCCCATTAGATCAAACATTACAAGTGCAATTGTGATTTGGAGAACAAACATTTGGCCCAGATGGAATGTCAGTTCACATTTTTCAACTAAGAAGTGTCTGCTTACTTGGGCAGTGATTTGGCTTATAACATGTTATTGTAACCCTAAAGTCTTTATTACTCCCAAATTCAATTTTATTAATATCACAGTTTTGTTGAAATGTGCCCTGTATGTTTAGATGTTAGTGTGTTGATTAGTGTTTCTATTGAGACAACCTCTACTAAACTCATTTGAAGCATATCATTAAAAAGAAGTTCAAAGTCCTGAACTTCCCAGTGTTTCCAAAGGATATTGCCACCACCGTTGAGTAGAGATCCATCTTCATCCTTTTTTTAAACAAAGGTGAATTCAATTAAGTTGGAATTACAGAGCTTATACAATAAACAAGCTGAAAAGGGAAAGCTGATCGCACTGTTTAATATGGAGTCCCTTGAGTGTCTTTCTTTATAATTCTGTTGCTGTTGATGTTATTGTTGGGGCTAAATTGGTGTGATAGAATTTTTCAAATGTTTAGATCATATAATCAAGCCCATATCATAAAACATTTCCTCATCCCTACAGTGTTTGATTATCTAGACTGTTCTCTCACAGCACACCCCCATCCAAATCCCTCATACAATTTACCAAACAGTGTGTGGGGTCTTCTAAGATATCTTGAAAGGAAATAATGCAATCACTCAGAAAAGGAACTTTCAAACCTTACCTTTACATTATAACTTATAAAAAGCCTTTTACTACCCACTTTTTTCCAGCAGTTTACAGGTAGCAGTTAACTACTTTTACTTTTATTAGTAGTAAAAAGCCTTTTACTACCCACTTTTTTGTCAGTTGTGAGTTGCACCCATGTCACCCTGCCAGCAGGGTGTGCTCACCCTGTGGTTTATGTGGGTCCTAATGTCTCAGTATAGTGACGGGGACACCGTACTGTAAAAAGGTGCCATCCTTCGAATGAGGTCTCTGTGGTTATTAAAAATCCCAGGGAGTTTCTTGAAAAGAGTAGGGGTGTAACACATGTATCAGCCATGGCCTCCTAATAATCTCCATCTATGAATTGGCTTCATTACTCTGTTCTCCTCCCCACTAATAGCTGATGTGTGGTGAACGTTCTGGTGCTCAATGGCTGCCATCGCATCATCCAGGTGGGGTTGCACATTTCTGGTGGTGGACTGGAGTCCCCGTTACCTTCTTTTCTGTGTTTAAGTGGCTACTTTATCTTATGGTCCATGTCCATTTGCCTTATGCCTAAATCCTTTCAGCTCCTGATTCTTAGTCTACTACCTTAAACTAGCAGGGAGGAAGCAGCTAAAGCCAGTATTAGTCTGTGGTGTGGTGTGTTTCATGGACTTATTTATCATCATTTTCTGAACACTGAAGTTACTTGAAGTTTTATTCTTTTTGCAGAAAGTGCTGATACCTTTGCTTTCAGGATGCTATTAATGAATTGTACTGGAAGACAGCTTTCACCGCATTTCTTGGCAGGTGAAACGATTGATGTTTGTGGCTATACAATGTTGGTGCTTCCTTCTGTTCACTTTGTAATACTATTAAAATCCCATCAAAGGTTTGCTGGAGCAGAAGAAATGCTAGTGTATTCAACAGAGTGAACCACAGAAATCGGCAAATATAACACATCAGTATGACTGCTTTTACAGTATATATATTGTTATATTTTAATTTTCTGAAAATTTTGTGGAACATTTTTTGGAAAACCAATACTTTTAGCCATATCTGGCAAACTCTTTAACAAAAATTCTCAATTTCAGGCCTCCACTTCGAAGAGGAAGCTCTTTTACTTTCCTCACACCAGGGCCCCACTGGGATTTTACTTTGGTAAGTGAAGAGTAGACTCTGCTACATTACTAAGTAACATTTATTTACTTCCTATGTTTTTTGGTATTTTTACACGTGATCTTTTATATTGTATTTGTATTTTATTTTAGTGTTTGTATTTGATATTTTTATTTATTTCTAATTTAAGCCCTAATAGAAAGGCTGAGTCTTAAGTTCAGTGAGACACTTATCTTTAATGATTCTAGAAAAGTAATATCTTTTTAATAACATGGTGATTAACACTGTACACAAAATTATAAATAAGATCTTACTGGTACAAGGCACAATTTAAGCACAGCATCCCTTGATTTAAGTTCTACACTTCTGACTGTACCTCTCAAAATGTGCTTTTTATTGCTTCCCCCATTGCTTAGAAGATGTAAATGTCAGACTCCTAAACCTTGTTCATGTTTTCTTGATGCTCAGTGTGTCTCATTCAATAGCTGTAGTTTGGTATGGCTCCCGCATGTAATACTTGTTTTATAATGTCATTGTCTATATAAAATTCATCTGTCAGGTGTTTTCCTGGTCTCGAATTATGTCGGTTTCGATTTCTGGAATTAACAAGAACAAATACATATTGCCTAGTACGTCTTCATGACTTGTGCAAATACTGGCTAGATTTTCTGGTAGGAAAGAGGTTTTGAATTATCTTGCATCTGCTGTGAAAAGTACAGTATCAGTGTGGTTTGGTTTGGGTTTTGTGAATATTTGTGTTATTGATAGAACCAGATTACTTCTAACCACCATTTAGGCTCTGTTACACCCTGAGTGTCTCATGTTTGTTAAACAGATGTATTTCTGTCTGATTAGGAACAGCCTCTTCAATAGTACATCTCCAGTCAGAACAATTGCCTCTAGACCCATTTGCCAGCACATGGTAGAATGAATGGCTTAGTTGGACACTTTTTCATGTAGCGTTTCAGGTGCTAAGGCATAAATTAGACAGCTGTTAAGTATTCAGTTTTTTGTTTTACTTTTTTTCTGAGATCTTGTTAAAATGAGATGAACATTTTTCATTTTTTTGCATTAGTCTACATCTAAGAGTATTAAGTTACTTATTTTATAGTCTGAATTTCGACTTTTGTTTAGTGAACCTTCAAGTAGAGTCATACTAAAATGGTAATTATTATGTGGACAGTACTATTGCATTTCTATGATGCTTTCTGATATGATCCAAAGCGATTACCAAAACTAAAGTGCGTCAACCTAGTTTTAGTCAATCCACAAAATTTCTCTTTATTCTTTATGAATTTTTGCTTTATGAAGGCTAGCCATCAGGAGTAAAATTGAGCTAGGAAATTGGGAATCCCTTGTGAACAGTGCCATGCGATCTTTAATGTCCTAGTAGTCACTACCTCAGTTGAATCCTTGGTCTTATCCAAAGGATGGCTTCACCTACAGCTGAATGTCCCTGTCAACATGCTGAGTCATTGGTTTGGAAAGCCCTGTTTAGAGGGAAGACTGATACCTTCTGGTTTGCGTGCATCACCTGCAGAGGCAGCCTGCTTTTACTTAGGGTCACCCAGCTTAATACTGACCAGACTCTGGCTTGCTTAGCTGCTGAGATCTGACAAGATGTGTAGCTTGCCAAATATTTGAGATGCTTTTGAAGTTACTAGTCTTGTAATTTAATTAAGCAGTGGAGAAACATTAACATTATTAACTAGTGTAAAGACGATGATTTACTGTAATATTCAAGATTTCCCATCATATGAACAATATTATAAAACTTGTAATGCTTCTACCAAGAATTTTACTGGAATAAAGAATGGCTCATGTTGTTCATAATGACTGTCATTAAGTGTTTGACTTGGTAACATTTCAATTTTAGGGAAAACATCATTATTTGTTTTGCTCTTAACATTTGGCTTCTACTTTGACATTCAGTTAATGGTATATTTTCATTTTATAGCAGTTTAGATACAGTATAGTTTCTTTGTACCATGCTCAGTTTTTTTTTCCAATTATTTAAATATTTGTACTGTAATTTCTAAAGCATAAAATGCTTTCTTCGTTTTTTCTTCGGAAGCAGCTTTCAACTGTAACTTGCCATAGAATTGACAGTTCTAATTGTTTCCTAACCTCCTAATAACCTAATTATTTTCTAGATTTAATTTTGATATAAGGCACATTCCAGATGTTATCTGGTGTAAAAAGAAAGCAATTTCAAGCATAAGTAGCTGCACAGTAACTTTTTTATAGCGGAGAAATTTCAACGAGCTATTTTTCCTGCTACTGTTCCACAGATATTTAGTCTGTCTGCTTGGTAGACCATTCCGTATAAAGAGTAGGCTAAACATAATTGCCTCCTAACTGTCTCAGCCAGTAAAACCTTTCCCCCCAAGTCATCTCTCCCTTGCATTAGTGGTTTGAATCCAGGCAGTGGCCAGCTTGGAAGTGCCAGTGGTGATGTATGAGTAGCTGGGACTGGAGGGAGCCCACGAGCGGACTCTTGTTTAAATAAACAGAAGTCTGTCTTTGTGATTGTGTAGTTTTCAACAAAGGCAAAGTGCATGTTCCAGTTAGAAATCTGAAATGGATGCTCATCATACATTCTTGTTAAGTCTATAGCATTTTCTAGGGGCCTTCCTCCTTAAAAATCCATTCCAGACACCGCATTTAAAACTAAGGTTCATAACAGTATCCAATTGTGCAAGTGTTAACATTCATGTTATCATGATTCTGTTTACTGTGCACACCTAATTTGCACAGTACAGAGGGTACTATTGATTTTATAACTTGCAAATACTGTATTCAGGTGAGTAAATATCCTAACTAAATATTTGAAAATGAGTTGTGTTGTCATGCGAACTAGTGGCCACATCAAACTGTCTGTGCTCTACATTGTCTAGCATTAACACCAAAAATTAATGCCACGCTGAGGAAACTGTATTGCATTACAAAATTCAGCGGCTTTTAGAAACATAATGAAACGTGTTAATAATTCCATCATCAGCATAGTTAATTGCAGTGATGCACACATCATTGCTGGGAGGAGAGGTTTAGCTTAAAAAAATATCATAAAAATTGTTGATGGAAAATTGTCATTACCAACACTGTCAAGTGCTTTGACGTTACTCAGAATTATGTAATGGAAACAGATAACTTTCAATTGTTTTTTTTTAAAGCCACACCTTAAATGGTATGAGTGCTACTTTTTGAATAGTGTGTATCAGTTTCATGATTAATTTCAAATTAGCCCTTACTCTATATCAATAGTTAGTGTTTTATCCTGTTATGCATTCAGTTTTTTTCTAATTATAATGAGTCAGAATTATATAGGATAATTAAAACAAATTTCACATTCAATCCAAATGACTCAATAAAAGGCCATTAAGCTGAAGGTATCAAAATACCTTTACACTTTTCAACAAAGTACATTCATTTTATATAGAAATTCACATTTTTATGGATCTAGTCATTTGTTTCAGGACAAGAAGATAAGGTAATTGTGGGCTTAACTAACTTGTTAGATTTATTTGAACAAACAGCCACAGTAAAAGACACACACAGCGTACGATATGGTGTGTTTAGATTTTCAGGTGGCTTTTGACAAAGTTCTTGAGGGGTATCTTTCAAATTATAGGTGTTGGGTGTTTGGGGAAATGTGTGTGTTTGGACTGAGAATTACTTAATGCAAAGAAAGAAGAAGTTGAAATAGTTTAATACCACAAGTTATTGATGTACGCACGATTTACATATATATGTAAATACCACTGATGTATGTCAGTATTCTGGATTCTGGTATAGTTCAAGAATTAGTCAAGTTTGCAGATGATATTAAAATAGATAAGGTAGCAAATACTTTAGAAGCAGCAAATTAAATTGTTTAGATTTAAATTCAAGAATGGACAAACGCCTGGTAGATGGTAAAAACCTAATCCAGTGATTTAAAGTGGGAAGCCCTTGAAGAGGCTACTTATGAAAAAGATATTCACATGCAAACATTGTTTCCATCTTCTAGACAAAGTGAGGAAGCAAGGAAAGCACAAACAGAATCCTAGGTTAAATAGTTAAAAGTGCAGACGTTAAATGGAAGGTGTGTGTTAAACTGTGAAATGTAGTTGAACACCTCGTTTAGAATACCGTGTACAATTTTGGTCATGATGTAACAAAAAATAATACATTTCTGCCAGAAACTAGAATTAATTATGGAATTAGTCCAGAGAGGAGCAAGATTTGTCCCACATTTTGAGATGCAAAGGAATGTCCTACACTGACAGGCTACAAGAACTTCTTTAGTCTTAGGCAGAGCAGACTAAGAGGGGACCAAGTATTTAAAATTCTAAAAAAGGCTTAGTATCAACAGTGCGAAGTGAACTAGATGTCTAAAACTACGTGAAAACTAAGTGCATTCAAATCTTAGAACACAAGGCTTTTTTTACACAAAGGCCGTAGGAGTATCGAACAAGTTAACCAGCTATGTTATTAATGCTGGGATTGTTTCTTTCAAGCAATGGATGGATGAGATCCTAGGATCACTCAGCTATTAAGTATGATGTTATCATATAGACAGTAAAGGTCTCTTATAGCCTCGTCTGATGCAATGCACTAAATGCATTTTTTTACTCTGCAAATTTTCCTAAAACAGGTTTATCATTTAGATGAAAGATGCACACTTTTATAGCTATAGCGTTCACCAGTCTAGCCTGATGTCCTCTAATGTAATATTGAGCATGGCCTGTGATGAAAATCAGTTCATTACTATATGTATACATTGTACAGTATACATATATACTGTATATAAAGGCCTTTTATAGTATTGTTTGATGATTACACAGTGATACGGGGGGGAAAAGTCACTAGTTTCTGAAAGTAGCATAGCATTTTTGTACCACATTAGTTTTTATAGTCCTTGTGCTGTACACTAGATGGAATTGAAATTCAAAACATTTGTTTGATGTTAGAAGGCCAGCAAAGGTTTAAAAACACTTAATCTTTTGCCAAAATCTGTCTTTGATTGTAGTTCACTATTTCCAGTTTATGTAGGAAACATTTGGCTTTAATCAGGTTTCCAAATTAGGTAACATTATCTCAGATGTGTAATCTCTTGGAAACACTTAGGCCTAAATGTTTTTGTTTTTGTTCATCACTTCTCACTTACTAAAATCTGAAGTAAATATACAGTTTTTAAATACAATTGCCAAGTAAGTGGATGTTTTAATCTTGCAGGCATATAAAGTAAAAACCTAGGCTAAATGTTTTCAAAAATGGAAGGGTTTGCAGGGATTGGTATCCTCTATTTCCATGTCTGCCCTGGGGTTAAATTACAAGAGCCTCCTTATAACCACAAAGTTCAAATATAATTTTAGATTGTCTGATGCAGTTTTCCCCTTTTATATTGCTAATTTTAACAGCCGAGTTTCAGTGTCACGACTGCTTTAATGTCTGTGGGGAAGGTGTCTATTGTCTCATTAAGTGACGTTCTGAGTGTTGAGAGTTCAACTGAAAAACAGTATCGATGGGTCTGGATCTAGTGGGTGACCGAGCTCCACCTGAACTATTCCAAAGCAATTCACACCTGGACGCTCCTAGGACCTTCTCAATAGAGAATATTTTGGTACAAAGCTGTGATCTATTGTGTGCCAGTTCTCACTCCCCAACCTCTGGGAATGGGGCAGTTCTTATCCTCCATATGGGTCTCAAACAAAGCTGGCAAACAGTACTGGGAGCTCAAATTTATAACCTCTTATAAATGTTACACATCTACAATATAAATTGTGAATTCAAATAGTGTTTGTTGAAAGAATTGGGGGTTCTGTAGCAACTGTGTAGTCAAAAAATACTGAGATGAAGGTTCAATCTCATTACAGGGTCTTGTCATTTCAAAAAGTTTTGGAATCCTACTTTTAATTAAAGGGCATTCTTAATCAATGTTAATTGTTTTTTTTATTTTAGTGTTACTGAGAACAGGCTCTTTCTTCATAGAGCTATTACTTTGAATTCAGGTCCATTGTAATGATTATAGTGCAGCATGCTTTTAGTGCTTTGTTTCCCTCCTAAAGCCTAAAGACTTGCTATCTAGGTTACGTTTTGTCTGTTTATTGTTCCCTCTGTGTCTTGCACATTGTCTGCTAGGTTTGGTTTTGAATTGCAGTGACCTTGTATTGGAAGGTCATTGAATCTGGAGGAATGGAGCATAAAAAAACAACCAATTTTAAATGCCATCGAAATAAAGTGTAGTCATTGCATGTAAAGATGTGAAAGTGGTCTCTTTTGCTTTTTTTGCATGAACTACTGTACAGAGCTCTCATGAGAATAACAGCCTACTGTGCCTTTTTTCTGAACACAGGTGTGGCCAGATGTTTTTACTGGTTTGGTTCAAACGAGAGCCCCTTCTGCAGACATTATGTAATGGCAATCTATTTGTTGAAATTTTTTTTTATGAGTTGTTCCAGACTGATGGAAAGAACAGGGGCACCCAGTTATGCTTTTCCCATTTAAACACACCATTTCCTGCTGAATGTGAAATTAAACCATACACACAAACTCCTGTCTAATATATTGTATATTGTCCCTGAGAAAAGTTAACACATAGCTTGTGCATAAGATACACGTTAACAATAATGATGATAATAACATCTTTATTCATATAGCACTTTTAAAAGTGGCCTCTCAAACTACTTTACAGTAAGAAAAAAAGCACACAATGAGAGGAGGGTTACAATAAGGGTTTGGAATAGTGTTTATCCTCTGTGTAGTAAATGTAAAAGAAAATCTGATTTTTTAAATGATTCTGAATATAACCTGATTACTGGCTACTATTTGAAGACACATTTTTTCAGAAGTTCCTGAAGTATAATAGAGTATTAAAGAATGGCTGAGAAATCCAGAATTGAGAGCTTTACATATCCGGTTATTTGGTCTCTCTTAATTTCTAGATAAAGGCTGACCCCGAGCATCATGCTGTATTATATGTGTCCATGCCATTTTTACATACTACGTGGAAAAACATAATGTATTTTTTATTAAGCTAATAGCAGATGGAAAAAAATCTTTGTTTGCTAGCTCAAATAAAATGCCGTATTGCTTTGTTGTTGCTCTGTAGAAACGAAAGAGACGAGAGAAAGATGATGATGTCGTCAGTCTTTGCAGTTTTGATTTTAAGGTAAGAATGCGTTATATCTTTATTTCTATTTAAGTTTTGTTGGTTTTACATACACTGCCATTGTTCAGAATCACTTTTAAAGCATGAGGCGTAGATGTGAAGAACAGTTAAATGCACTATAAATTTACAACAACATGTAAGACGCAAATGCTTCTGTGATTCAATGCATTTAATTACATGTTAATTCAATGTATTGTCATGTCTAGAGGAGTGCGCCCATGCTTTATTATTCCCGGTGGAAAGCAAATTAAAGAAGGTGCAGGTGTGGAAGAACTGTCCAAACACAATACACATTGCATCAATAACCTGAGGCAAGCAGACTACAGATAACAGAGACAGAGATCAGAATTGTGGAGTGCTTGTTTAGTTATATACAGAACAATTCGGTAATTTGTCTGTACTAGAAAGATGCACTGTGTAAAAGTGCTTCTCCTTTATACTGTAACTCAGGACTTGTTTCCAAATATTCCAAAGCAATTTCAGCAAAAAAAAAAGAATAATGTACTGCCAGAATTGAAGGATAATAAAAATGAAAGATATCTAATGCACAGTGGGCATATGGGCGGAGCAGTGGCTCTGTGGCTAAGGATCTGCGCCTGTGGCTGGAAGGTTGCCGGTTCAAATCCCACAGCCGGCAGAGGAATCCTACTCTGTTGGGCCCCTGAGTTCATAAACCCCTTATCCCCAGCTGAGCAAGGCCCTTATCCCCAGCTGCTCCAGGGGCGCTGTGCAATGGCTGACTCATGGAGAGCAAGCTGGGGTATGCGAAAAGACAAATTCCTATTGCAAGAAATTGTAAAGGGTTAATAAAGTGATGTTATTATTATTATATGTAAATTACACATAATGCTGTTCTACTGACCATAGGAGCACTGACCTTTAGAAAGCAATAAAAATGGAAACAAAACTTATTTGGATTGCTGAAACGTTCCTGACTCATCAATTTGAAAAGGACAATCATATGCTCTGATTTAGGAAAACCTTAGCAACAGTTTGTTATATTGTTATATTTCATCACAGGTAAATTAATCATCAAAGTACAGTACATTTCCCAATTATTGCATATTTGATATGCCTTTATTTAACTTCCTCTAAATGCTACATGAAGATCGTGTGTCTCTTTTGTTTATGAACTCTTCACTCCATATATTGTTGTGTTGTACACGTCATACATTTTTTTTTACAGAAACTGGCATTAGGCCTAAAACATGTTGTTCTTGTAACGCATCCAACCCTGTTTTTTATTTCTTAAGTCTGAGATACCCTGCAATAAGTGATACACCCATGTTTATAGACTGTGACAGACACTCTTACTCTCATTTGTTTTGCTGTGCATTGTCATAAACACAATATGAACGGTATATAGGCAGCAAATTGAAACATGGGGGTATTTTGCGTCTCCTGCCAGACCCATAAAGGTTTTTTTACATTTGAATTACAATGTAGTAGTCTGCTTGCATCAAAGACAGTTGTGCATAAATAAAAATAAGTATTATGTTTATTTGGACAATGTACGAATTGTAAACTTAAAAACATTGCAGCAAAAAGGAACGTTTATCATGTCTACTCCATCTTGAAGATTTACCCTACACCCTAACTCAGAACAAAATTAGAAGGCATTACCATGCCTTTCTATAACAGTGAAGCAAAACAGATCTCTGATTTCACAAAGAAACTTTACATTTTTATACATGTTGCATCATTCCCATACCATATGCTTTTAATATTAAAGCCTTTGATTCTGTTATTGTGGTTCTAAAATACTGAAACAAAGCAACATTTACATCATTCTGTCAGATACCTCTTGCCCAGACCGTACCACATCAAAAGTGTCTTCATACTTTCTCTTTTAGTCAGAAAGGTTCTGTGTTGAAACTGAAGTAAATATGTGCATTTAGATAGACGTGTTACATTTGGAATTTAGTGGATGAAACATGCAGATTTTTAATTCACTGTGTGCATTGTATTCTAAGGAAAAAGAGCTTTCACAGAGATAAAACTACACTGTCACTTCATTTACACATTGGAGAGCATTGTCAGAAAATGTATACTAATTCATCAAGAATGGAGATATCCATTTTCTGTATATCAGATTCAAGAAAGATTATCTAGTATTCTTAAACCAAACATCTCTTCAAAATGTTTTTTTTAGATCAGAGACATGAGTCGTCAATTGTTGTGGCCTTATGAATGCTTTCTTTGCGATCTACTTACTGATGGATAATGCTTTTGAATATCTATTGCACAATGGTATTAAGTAACTTTATCAGTCTTTTAGTTTGCAAAAGGCTTATTTGCAGTCAGTTTTTATTACTTTTAACTCCTATCATGAATTTCAAGATTGTTATCTTTGAAATCAGGTCTTTGCATACATTTGGTATAACTTGGTTGCCGCTTAAATAGGATAGAATTATGCATTCATTTATGTCTGAAACATAAGATGTCATCAGTCATACTGTGTCCATATGTGGGTGATACTATCTAATCATTCCTGCAATCAGTAGTGGGACTCTGACTGTTGTAAACCAGTTCCTCAAGCTCTTGCTGCTTCCAAAATACAGTGCCACAGACACTGATGGCATTGTTTTTATTCATCAAGATAAGAAAAGGATACTGGCCACTCTTTATTATGCAACCCATGCAGAATGTTTCAGCTGTAAATACAGGACAAACTGTTTTTATGCATGCTGTCGGAGGAAATTGTTCTAGAAAGGGTTTGCTTTAAATTTCCCTAGAAAGTCTGTAGCTGAACTTCTATTCTTTTGTTCTAACCGAGTTGCAGTACCAAGAGTGGAAGTAGTTTGCCTTCTAGTTTTCTGATTATCCATCTTATTTTTAGAAAAAATTAAAGGTTTATTCCATGCTGAAAAGAGAAGAAAAGAAACGCAACGTTTCGTCTGTGGAGCCTTTTTTGGGTGTGCTTCCACTATACAACCAAAGAAGACTCCACAGCCGAAACGTTGTGTTTCTTTACTTGTTCCTTTGCAGCCTATGCATGCTGATGCAGCTACTTACTTAAAGTACTTCATATTATTTTTAGGTTCTTTGTACTCCAAACATAATTTTAAGATGATTGAAATTTAATGGCAATTTTCTGAAATAATATTCCTTACTATAGTGTTAGGAGGACAGCTACAATTTGCTCTGCACACTAGTGTACAGATTTATTGGAATACTAAAGATAATGTCAATTATTGAATTCAGCTCACACACTTTCTCATTCAATACATAAATTACCTTCGGCAAACACATCTTGAATTTGCTGAATTAGTAAAACCTAGAAATGTCTTCTAGATAACCTTTTTAGTTTAGATGGATGAAACAGAGTTTACAGGAAAGAGACATTATTTAAAATCCTGATATTTAAAAAATCAGATCCTTTCATACAGTATATCAAGTACAGAACTTCTGCTCCCACTGTTTCATTGGAAAGAGGGTTTTATCACAGATATCTACCAAAAATCACTGCCTACGTTCTGTTTCTGTTAATGGGCATATCATTTTATCAGGTGATTCATGTCTTTTAACTGGAGTTGTAGTTACTTTTTGTGTTTTGTAGCAACCAGGTAAACTGAGGGTGCAATCACTCATTTACAATCCAGTTGAATAAACTCTTGAGAAATGAGACATTGTCATCAAGTTGAGCAGGCTATTTGAGCCTGGTTGCCCTTTTTACCTGTTGCATAGCCTTTTTATTTCTTTGGTTTGTACTCCTTCTGATCTCTGAATAATTTAATTGAACCGATTTTTAAAATATATTTAGTTTGGCAGGCCATTTTTTCTCCTACGTACATTGAATATCAACATATAAATGTAAGAATAAGTGATTGCATTTGCAGCAAGGACACTTATCACATAATGCTAATTCATGTTTGTCATCAACAGACTTGATCAATAGGGTGTTTATGTGAAAGTCACAGACTATTAACATGTACATGCTTTGCGCCTTTTTGTAGATGTCTTTTCTCTTGTGGAATTCTGTCTCATTGCTCTTCTAAAGCCAGGAAATGTTTGTGTCTGTCTACTGCTCTGAGCCCTAGATGCCACAACTCATCCCTGTTTATCAGCAAATGTTCAATGGGGATTTAAACTGGTGACTAAGGCATTCACTGTCACATTCTCATCTCAAGAGAAAGCTGTAATTGCATGTACAGCATACAGACGTGTTTACTTGTCATTTGTTGTCACAATCAGGATAAGCCTGCAGGAACACTCTTCCTTAAAAGTGGGAACGAGGAACAAGGTTTTCCTTAAATCACTGCAAGTGGAGGTCTGGAGTCTAGCCACTCCTGCCCAGACTATCACACTTAGACCTTTCCATTGATTGATCAGGTGCACAACAATTCCCCTGTTGTTCAGCACATCTGTACCACACCCGCTGACGTCCATCAGGGTGTTCTGCACAAAACCTTAATTCATTGTTAAAGAGGACTTGGCACCGCTGCCTGAAGAGCCCACTTGAGGTGACTTAGTCTTAGCATGATGAGACAAAGGCGTTGTTCTTTTCAAAATTAGGCCATATTAGTTTCTTTCTCTACTTTTCTTTTCTTCCACCAGACTCGACAATCAAAATGTTATCACCTGTGCCCAGTTAGCCACCTCACTAATGAGTTGATCTCAGTCAGTCATAAGTGATTGAATATTTATTTTGATTGAATAGTTTCCATACTCAGGATATGCTATTTCTCTGAAAGAATACAGGTACAGCATAAGTAGAGAAATGTTTTTTAATGGTCACTAAAGCTGCAAATATCCTTCTAGCTCTGCGATTTATACATCGTAGAAGTTAGAGATACACAAATACTCAAGGTTTAATCAACAGAGATCTAAAAAATAATAATGTAAGCCTTAATTCTGCAAAATCCACATCTCAGTTTTCTCTAAAGATAAAGATTTCTCAAGTTTTCTGGTTTCTTTTTTAAACTATTATTTTCAGGTTCTCTTTAATTTTGGGGGGGATGTAAATAGTAGCAGTTGACATTTCTGTTATTATTTCTTAT